GAGAATGGTTGATCTACGCATGAGTCTTACCGTTGGGTGACTCCAATGTCCACCGCCGGTGTTCTTATTTCATGAAATTGGAGTTGCCATGAAAAAATCGTACAAGAGTCCAACAAGACCGTTACCATTCTCATTCCGGGGTTCTAATCCAAATCTCCCGATCCTGTGCTCCCCTTCTTCTGACGTCCCAATTTTCGCATTGAAGTCACCCACGACGAAAACAGATGAGTGTACGACAATACAACGCCTCTAACATTTCATGGAACTTTTTCACTAGGAATGATGAGTGTGCCATCACTAAGCTGCCTCAATTTCGTCTTTCTAGACTGTTTCCTGCAAGGTGATTACGACAATACAACGCCTCTAACATCTTATGGAACTTTTTCGCGCCTTGAGCGAGAAGGGCGTGAAGTTTGGCGTTGGTGGAGACTGTCCTGACGTTGCAGTTGCAGAGCATCAGACAATCTCCATGGCGAGTCGTGGACGTATCATTTTGGTCCGAAACCCTTAATGTCCTGTGCAACCTGACACTGGTCCTGATGACATCCGACGCGGTAGATGTGATCCAGTGTGCAGGGCTTCTTTTTCTCTTACATGCTGTACAGGCAGTAAAAGACTTCTACCGAAACATTAGCAGTCATTGCCAGGGCTCTGCCAAGCTTTCATCACATACCAATCGCTGACCTTATGTGGTATGTGGATCAGGGAGCCACCTAGCGACGGAATCAGCCAGACGGTGGTGCTTCTGGCATGGCCTACTCTTACTGGGCATCCGGAGAACTGGAAACGAACTCCTTCTCAACATGGGAGACCCTGCTGGAGGATGAACCTCAGCTTACTTCGCAGTGCGACACCCAGAGTCAGCGCCGCGCCACGATGAGGCGGTAGATCATCACGGGCGATATCGAGAGCTTTTGCATGCAATGCATGTGTTGGTTTTGTTCTATAATCTTAAGATGCAGGCAAAATTCAAGATGTTGATGCATCTGTGGGCCCTTGTTAATA